CTTGCACAGCGCCTGCGGCGCTCTTACTTCGCACTCCCTACTTGGACTCGTTGCCAAGACAGATCAAAAAGATCGGAGGTGGGGGGGAGCGCAGGTGGGTGACATGGTCGAGCCCGCCCCTTGGCGTTCCACTCCACAGCCCCCTGGTCCGGAACATACACTGGACCGGAATTTTTCCCCAACAACAACAATAGCAACACCCCATCAGGGGTCAGGACGATTATGACTGGGCAACTATGCCCACCACATGTATATCCAGCGGGAGCGCAAGCGATTCTACCGGCAGAGAACCCGGTGTCAGGGAACTGCCAGCGCATACTAGGCTGCGACAATCGTGGTTTGCTGATACTGGCGCAGCACACGCGGTCAGACCTTTTGACCTAGAAGGGCGACACGTGGTCCTGCATTTGGCCTGAGCCGTCACCCTTCAAGGTTGGGTAAGCAAGCCGTCGTCAAATGCGAAGCCCTACCCATAAAGTACACCAACTCCCTTCACATACAGGAGAGTGTCACAGATGGTTCGAGAAGGGGCCGTGACAGCCTGGGGAGGTGGGGTTGCACAACCTACGCTGGCCTTTTTTGGTTCTCGAATGATTTTGAACCTGACTTGCAGTCACATTTGCATTCGCGGCCTTCAATCTACAGAATATATATTTTCCATATAAGGAAAATCATACGTTCTTCTCTGCGCTATTATGGAGACGTCATATAAAACTCATAAAATTGCAAATGGGTTTGGGCCATGCTGTGCACTTTGTGAGCAGCATCAATAAATGGACAGATGCGACGCTCTATGAATGAACATTTAGTGGTCTTAAAAGATATGATAGATGGAAACTTTTTGAAATCCGTGCTACACAAGTAGTGCTTTTTTCCAGATTTTAGTCGTTGCAGGCGCTCGAAAAGAAGGTCGTTCAAAATACGGCGTGCTGACCGATACTATATATTACAAGTCTACTTAAGTAATACTTTTGAATCCAAAAACGCGTTTTAGAACTCCAGTCAACATTTCTTGTCTTCCAGTCTGCAAACCCGTGTCATGCTGCCGGATACTCCTTTGATTATGCCTGCTTACAACAGTAAAAGCAATGCAACTAGTCTATGCGATTTAACTCTACGTGCCCAAAGGAAGCATATTACCAGGCCCTGCAGTTGATGTGGTCCAAATAACTTCAGCCTAATGTTTACAACCAGAACAGTAGCATTTGTATTTTTGTAATGTCATGACTGCCTTCCCCTTCCCCAGCCCGTATTGGATTGTTCCAGGAAAAAATACCACCTGATGTAACTTCGGCCGCTACACAGTCTGCTCCACTTTCTTCTGCTAGGGTATAATTGCGAGTGGCGCGATTGAAGGTTAAGATTTGAAGCATTTTGTCCCCGGTACGAAGCTGAAGTAGGCAAAAACGGCAGGATTTATTGGCACCAAAAATTTCGCGACTGCTCTTCAGCTGCTTCCTGTCGCTTCATAAGAGGGA